AACAACAACAACGAAAAAAAAACAAAGCCAGAAAACATGGAGCATTAAACACCTGATCTAACTTCAAAGTTAGCCCCTGCTTTGAGCAGGAGTTTGGATCAGATGATACCCAGAGCTCCCTTCCAAGCTGCGTAATTCTTTGATTCTACTTCTTGCTTATTGTAGATTCAGGACTTGTCTGTTGTCTGTGGTGACTGGAGAAGAGCTGCCACTATTAGATTTGCGAGTACAAGTCCTGGACCTGCAGGCTGCTCAGCAGGCAATAACCCTTGCCTCTGCACACAACTTCATTGAATTCAGCTTGTAGGATTATACTTAAAAGCCAAACAACTGATAGGGAAAAAAACTTGTACCAGAACTCCTAAAATCTCATATTGCAGTTTTATTATTATTATCATCTACTTAGTGTCTACTGATACTTTGTCCTGCACACTATTGCAATTTCTTCTATTCAGGTGAGGGAAACACTGATAGATCTCGAGGACCTCTTTGAAGAGCTTCCAGCAAAACAGACTTGGCATTGCTGATAAGCTTGAAGTTGAAAGAAAACAAAAGATTACACCAGAAGCAAATCCTCCCCTCCATTCCCTTCCTTACACCTGCTACCTTTTTACCTTACTCTCTGAAACAAAAGCAAATCCAAACTTCTGGATTTTTCTACATATTTTATAGCATAAAAGTATTTAGTTGGACATTTTAGAATAAAACATACCTGAAGCCACTGGTATGTTACAACCAGCAGCCTTTAGGGCATTAACAGCATCGATGACTCTTGCAGGGTATACACAAACCGCTCCAACAGTAATATCTGCAAAAGCCACAGTTCACTTTTTCGTATGTGTAGATTTCCACCTTCTCTAGTGCAATCCATATTATGAGCACGTGTGCATTGTTTGCACCTCCCACTTCTGCATTCTCACAAGGATTTTAAGCACCTACACTAGGGATATCTGTTTTATTTTTCAAGCACTTCAGGTGATTCTCCATATCGTTACCTCCCTCATGTTCCTTCACCTGACCCTGGGAGCAAGTTTGCATCAGCAGGAATTAAAACACCAAGTTTTTTATCAACAGATTCACTATTTAATGCCAACATGTACAATTAAGACATGCTTAGTCAGCAAATTACTGCGAGAGAAACCGCACTGCCAAGCTCTGTCCTTACTTGTTGAGCCAGACTGAGCCCAGCAGCAACTGAGCAGTCTTTATGTTAATGCAGTCCTACTGCATTTCTAGTTAAAATGCTATTCTCTCAAAGTCTCAGATAACTGACCTCATATTTAATACTTCAACTGTCTGAAGAGTCCATAAATCCAAGTTTTAAAAAAAGACTAATCTTCGATATTTTATGTGTATGGCTTAAAGCCAGACGTCTGATTCCCCTTTGGTTTTACATCATATGACTTCAATCGGTGGACCAATGCCCATGTAAAACTGAAATATTTCAATAGTAAAAACATGCCCCAAATGTCAGTGAGATTTTGGTTTTGATAGATCATCGTAAGGCCAACATGACAGGAAAAAAGTCAAATGCTATTCACCGACATGTCAGTGATTACAGCTGGAAAATTTCAGAAGAGCTGCTCAGATATAAAGAGATTTCATTGATAGTTATATTGACAGTCTCAATTTGCTCTAAAGTTGAATCGTGTTCAGTCTTGGGTGTAACGCTGGGACTTCAGACGGAGCCTGCTTGAGTAATATCAATGAAAGTCTTACCACCAGTTCTTAAGGGCTGTCGTCTGCCCCTTCAACTCTGTTGACTTAGCTGGGAACTCTGTGTGTGTGTGTGTATACGTGATACGTACACAACCACATACACTCACTATAGGACTGATACCTTAAAGTAGACTGGGCTGCAAAGATGTCTCCTATCTTAACTATTGAAACAAGCAGGTAACAGGTAATGTTTTCCCAAGTAATAATAACATGCTTAGGACTGTGGAATGCATCTTTTCTGACAGTCAAAGTGGCAGGCTTGGTAGTTACATACAGCAACAGCAGATAAGCATGAAATCCAAAGGAGTCACATGAACACTGCCTCCTTCTCCAATTTAGTAAGGTCATCAGCAGATTCACAGAATACTCAATTAGTTTCACCTTAGTGCATTCTTATTACAAGACATACACTGAGGTTACACAATTGTGGCTTCCATATCAAATTTGCTCATCATAACTTACAGTGTCACCCGTCACCTGCTTCACTTTGGTTGCCAGACTGAGAATGGATTTTTTTTCTCCTTGTATTCTTATATTAACTCAAAAGAACAGATATTTTGCACTTACAACTAAAGACAGTTGCTTTGAATAAGACCATATAGGACCTAGTTTGTTCTCTCGGGACTACCATAACTGCAGCGCTGCCTACCATAACTGCTTCCATTGTAGGAAGAGGAGGCCATTTTTACACCTATCTGAAAACTGAAAAAATACTGAGGAAATGCAGACATTTTCTCTACACAACACACACAACAAAACCAATCATACCTTTATCATGCATATCCAAGGCTTTCAGCAGATCCTCTCTGATGGGATGCTTTGCTTTAAAACACAGTCTGTGGACATTTGAAGGAGTATCATCGCCTGAAAGAGTGGTAAGGTCTATACAGGTGACAGCTTTCAGCAGCCAAGCAGCCTACACAGGGAGCGAAGCAAGGAATACAATATTTCAGTTTACGCTTCCAAAACCAAACTGACTTAGAAGATGCAGGAATCAGAAGCCTGGCTCTCACTCTAAGAATAAGGAAATGTATGGGATATAACATGGAGGATATGCAAAGAATGGTTTATGACAGACAGGGGTGGCAGATATTTGTTCATGTCTTGAGCAGTATCTAATGGCACAGAAAGGATTTGGAATAAAAAGTCAGCTCTCTCAGGATGAAAAGATCTAATTCCAATTTTTGGTGCAAAGCTAACTACCAAATGGGACTCTAAGAATCAGACAAACATTTTTACCTGGACTAAAAGGATCTTGTTTCAAATTTAATTCTCTAAGACAAAGATAAAAGCATCACCTCATCACAGTGAGGAACCTCACTGTTATAATATGCTCCATTTTATATAGTATGTCTATATCTTTAAAGCTTGCACGCACGAAAAATTATACACGTGCTTCAAGTGGAGCACGGTTTGTAACCCGATGAGTGTACACATCAGCAATTTGCACACTTGCACGTTTGCATGCTTCTCCTGCTGTGAGAGTGAAACATGGAATCAGTGGGGGGCAAGAACCCAGACTTCTTAAAACTTAGGGTCTAGACTCCAGATGTTTCCACTTTCTTTTGTGTGAATTGGGAATAAAAACATCTGTAATTATTTAGTGCAAAACATAAAAGTAAGAGCTAAGAGACAGGGCTAAAGCACTCCTTAGATGAAAATGCTACAGAATTTTAAAAGACTAACTAATTGTAGAATGGAACAGAAGCACAACTAAAAATTTTTTGAACAAAAATTGAGTTTAAGACATTATTTTGAAATATTCGTTGAAGGTCTTCGAGCAAATTCTCGTTTACAGTGATGGCTTCACTAAAAGCTGACATCTCTTAGTGGGCACTTGTTCAACAAGGGGAGAGTTTGCAACAGCAAAGTCCACTTGAGTCCATAAAGTCCCTCCCTGACTGCTCTGCTCTGTGACACGGTTTGTCAGCATACGCAATAAAATTTGTTGTTTCTTCATGGAGGTATTACTCTGCAAATCTTACGATGCTGGCCAGCCTACAAACCTTCACACTTCGCTGATGGGAGTCTCCTTTCTGAACTTGCAGTAAATGTTACACTGAAAGCTATTTTTGGGTGACTAAACAGAGTAATGAACCGTTACTGGCCTCTGTTAGTCTAAGCTTGACTGCTTGTTTCTAACTGATTTCTACTTTCACCCTATAATACTTCAGACGTGTTTTTCACTTTAAATGGTTTTAAGTTTCTTTTACTTGGATTTTTTTATCCTTCACTTTAGGGAATTTTTGTCTCATCTCTTATGACATGAATCATAAAGTCATCAAGACAGATGTAGTCAGGGAGTTCCAAGAACTGGTATGAACTTCATTTTTTTAAAAGGGTTTTTCAAATGAGTATTTTGGGAAATGGGCTTCAAAATTTGAATCTGTGGTGCTACTCACGTTCAAACGCGTAGAGGTTCAAAATCATCTCTGTGAAATAAACAGCACATGACTATAATGACTGCAATGACAGTGTTCAAATACAGGAGAGATGCTTCTGAAAATAATCTCTTGGCATTCTTCAAAGTAAAACCTCACTCAAGTAGCTCAGTACCAGTGTTACTGCACAGGAGAGCGGAGAAGTGTTAGTAATAATCAAACATTTGTCCTATAGCCATGTTGAGGGAGTGACACTAAATCCCTTTCTTCCCAGTGATTCTTTGTAATCAAAGCTATGGCTCTCTATTCCTTTGTTCTTTATATAGTAACTTCTGTCAAATCAGAAGACTTACTTTTTACATTACTGCACCTGCAGTATCTGAAGATAGCCAAAGTTATGGAATACTCTTGGAATTTTCTCACTGACACTACTTCCCAACCCAGAGCCACTGGACTGCAAAAGTTGGTAGCAAGTGACTTTTTATGTGTAAGAAACTCTTGGGAAATGCTGATGTCTAACTTTCCTCAGTTTATGTCCATTTTTTATTTAATCATAACATGCAAAGCACAGACTTTCAGGATCATGTAACAGGCAGGAAATTGTTTTCTATCACCTTCCCACAGGATCTTACACAGCTACATCAAATTATCCCCAAACTGTCGTCCACAAGATCTGTGCTCACTGTAAACGCAGCTTCAGCCACCCCAGAATGGCTGCCCAACACGCTAAGCTCAGGATACCAACTATTTTGAACAGTTTTTTTAAGAATTAAGTATAATTAAATGATTCTTGCTTTGTTCTACTATGTTGGACTGTTAAGATTGATCCTTGAGTGTCTCCTTCCTCCTGCTTCCACGTTAACAGTTACTGTTGCAAGTAAACGATTTGTTCAGCATGCAGAGGGGAGGAATCACACACATTTGCTTGCAGAACAGCTGTTTGGTGACCGAAGAATCAACTTGTCCTTTGGACACTGGTTACACCCCACAGCCAAGAGCTCACTGGGAGCTCTGGGTCTGCTCCACAGCATTTCTCAGACCTTGCCCTTGGCTGAACGCTGCCAAAGTACTTACGGCACCCTGCAGCCCGCTCTGCCTGCCGTTCCCCTCTCAGCGCTTCCCGCCCTGCCGCTGAGGGGGCAGAAACCAGCATGTGGCCGTGCCTCACCTGCTCTGCTTTGCAGAACGTATTAGCTTACGTTGCTGACCTGATGGCTTTGCATTACGATTCTCATGTACAAACTGGAGGAACCGAAATGCACACTGGGCCAGTATCTGCCAGTTCTGTCAGGGGGGCGGTGAACAGCAGAGGCTGACAGTAACTGCTAAGACATTAAATGTGTGTGTTCAATGAATACACAAGATAGCCTTGAAGAAAAGTTCATTTGCACTACTGGCTTTAGCGGTGGCTTATATCAACCTATTTTGTACTAAGATGGACAATAACTGATCATTTACTTTATCTCAAGAGTTGAGAAGTCAGCCCCCTTAACATTAGTAGCTTTTTTTTCTTCTTTCTTTCTTTTTTTTCTTTCTTTTTTTTTTTCCCCCCCCTTTCTCCCCCCCCAGTGCCATAGCCAGTCAGGATTTTTGAGTTTTAGGTAAGAACTAGTTAAGCAAAGAAATCACACATGTTGGGGATGTTTAAGTAAAGAAAAATCATCCAGGTAGGTCAAACTTGACAGGGACCATGATCATATCTTACAGCTTTAAAATTAAAAAATAAGAAGGCAACGTGCAGAGAAGTCTGTCTGGGAAACAGAATAAATGTGGTGGGATAGTAATATACAATTTAATCCACTCATGAATAAAGATGACTTAAATTCATTTGCGGTTTTGCCACTCATGAGTTATAAGGTTTTTAACTTGTTTGGATAAATGCATCACCTTATTCCATCCCATCATCATCAAATACAAATTATTAAAATAAGACATGGACAAGCACATCTTTTAAGTTTACATGCATCTTGAAAAAAATTCAATATTGCAGCCCGGAGAGGGAGAGTGACTGCTTTAAAAATACAGGAACAGAATGCATAAAAAGAGCACTTACTTGCCAATTACCTTTCACAGTTCTCCATTTATTAATTTGTTCTGCATGCCTCACAACTGCAGGTCGATTCACGTGCACTTTTGAGATCCAGCCAAGTTCTGGGGTGGGAAAAAAGAAGAAAAGTCTCATCTATTTCTGCATTCTTTTAACATACAGTGTGGGACTTCAGAAGAAAGTTGTAGCTTGGTTTGGGACCTCTGAGGAGCATGTTGTGCTTTCATGTCCTTTTCAGGGCTTGCGTATTTCTCACCAGTCCGAAATAATGTAATGGCATTAACTGCTGTTAGGGTATGATCTGTGAACTGGATGTTTCACACAGCATGTTTTGTTTGCCATTACACCTGAATTAACTTACTGCTGATGAGACACAATATGTTGCCAGTCCTGGACTATGAAGTTTACTACACACGTAGCATATAAAAAACCCCCACAAAACAGCCTTCTGCCATTGCTTGCTGATTTACTTCTTGATTCCAGAATATGGTAACATTTATTCAGTCCTTTGCTTATCTGCTGGCACCCAGGATACAACAGCACTTTTTGTGTGCATGAATCTTTGTTTACAGGAACTGTACCCCACATAGTCACCAAAACCTCTGCACAGGCCCTTGCACGACAAAGCATTTGAGTTGTTATTGTCTAGAGCTAATTTTACTGAATTTGCTACTAGGGCCTGACTAACTGCAAGTTTCCACAAACACTGAATTCCTGGGCAACTTATCTGCCTGGAAGCTGCTGAGATACACGCCGGCCTGAGAAGTGTTCACCTTGCCAAGCACCACGGAGGACTCAGGGCAACACCTTCAACGTGTGAATTCCTTCAGATGCCCACTGCACACAGGCTGGCTCACAATTTCAATGAGGTTCACTATCCATAAAAAATAACCAGACCCAAAGAGAAGCAGATACTCAACGTTTACTAAAATAATGTAACTGTCTAAAAACAGAAGCACCAAAAATTGGACACTGCTTAACGAAGGGTAACTGATTGATAACGGAGAACTGAAGGTTCAGGCCCTTGAATCTTGAAATTTCTGCTTAGTATGATAAACCAAAAGCGTAATTTTGAATGTTAATAAACACAAACTGCTCAGAGAAGTACACCGGAAAAAGAAATCAGATAATCTTTAAAATCCCTCATATCCCAAAACATAAATAATTCTTCTAAATACTAATCATATAATCAATCCATGAAAATACTCCGAAGACAACATCAACAATCATTAACCACCAATCATCAGCAAATCACCACCATCAATCATCAAATACCATCATCGGTTAAGGTCAGTATATGGACACGGGCTCAGATACTAAGAGATAATAATTCTGGGTGACTTAATAAATTAAGAGCATCTCATCTCTACGAGTCTTCTTCACTACTATATTAAGTTTGCATTTCTCTTGAGCACATTGATTAAAAAAGCTTTAAAACTTTAAAAAAAGCTGATAGCCAAAATCACTGATTTTGTACAGAAATCTTATCGTCAAATTTTTTTCTTCCTACTTTATAGTTCTAATAGCCAAAAAAAGTGCAGAACTAATGTACTAGCTGAAATATGTGTAAATACAAGCTTGTTTTCCTAACTAGACTTACAAAAAGCTCTGGAGAAACCAATTTAGGGTAAAGATGACTCAGTGGAAATGCAGGACAAAGGCACGAAACACAGCTAAACGAAATCTTTTTCTGAGCACAGTAAGCCACCCTGCTACCACTTTCCTGTTACCACATACAAGTAATTAAATGAGCAGTACCTGCAAGGTCAAAATGTTGGCCAAAAGCAAAAAAAGTTAAACCAAAGAAGGAATTTCAAAGGAATCCTAAGGAATTTAAGGATTTCTTTAAGACTTTAGCATCAGTCTCACTGTATGGCGAAAAAGAAAAGAAGGAGCTTGCAAAGTTGCAAACCAGTCGAACAACAAACCCTCATTACTTCTTTCCACTTTCAAAGCCACAGGCTTATTCATTCTGCCCCAAAAGCAAGAAGCTCAGCTGCCATATAGAAAGCAGGTGAGAAAAGCTATTGCTACAAAACTTTCCTTCTTTTTGAGTATCAATAAATGCAAACCATATAAACACAGACAGCTGAAATATAAGCTAGTGAAACCTCTACATCCTCCGCAGTTGCTTTAAGGTTGAGGCTCCTATGTGATCAGCAGAGAGCATACATCACTTCCCACAGGGCCATTATAGGCAGTATTTGACAAAGTCCACAGGGGAGGAAAACACAAATGAATAAATAAATGAAGGAACACAAACTCTGTGTTGTGATTCTCCTACTATATTCCAAGTGCTCAGTTGGAATCATTCAATCACAATCCAATTTATCAAGATAACTTTTGAACCCTACTGGGTGCATGGTGACCTTTCAGTCCCTTTGGAAAATGTGATAAAAATCAAAGCAAGCAGTTTAGATGAGGTACTCAGCTTCTTGCTCTCTAATATGGATCCAGAAGCTTCAGTTATTCTACCCTAACCTATTCTTTCTACATTATGAAAAATAACCAAGAAATCCAACTAAATAATTAATTTATAAGAACTACTGTCTTCTATAGAAGAGTTGGGAAGACTATGAAGACAGCATCCAGTTTGTTAAACATGGAAAATGTTCATCTTCTTGGTTCTTGGGGCATAAACCTGAATTTAAGTGAAAGAACCAAAATTTCCCCCATGAGTAGGTTAACCCTTCATTACTTATTATTTGGAGCAGATTCAGTCTGATTGTCTTGTGCTGGACTTTGGTAGAAACATACTGTTATTGTACCTGCCCCTACCTGACTTTTGAGCATAGCTTCTCAGAAGGTCTGAGTAATCTCTGCAGGAAACGGAGCACTGCACACTAGATTAGCTTAGAAGAAATAGTCAAGTGTAATACCCTTTGCGGAGGTGGGAGGGTAATGTTTGAAATTCTCAATCAATGGGAGAAAAGAGGGGGAAGAACAGCGGAAGTGGAAAAAAAAGCTACTACTTTTGCTAACTCATCTTTGCCCAAAGTCACCTGTGAAAGTTACCATATATCAGCCGATCAGCGATAGCTGATTGCATGTTCTTAGTTCTTTGCAAACATGATGAAATTCATTGGCTTAAGCCCTTTTCACTGTGTAACACATTTTACCTTCTGTTTTTCATAACTCCAGACTAGTCATGAAGGTAGCTGACACATGGCAACTCAATAAGGTGCAATATCTAATTTTTGTGCCTGAGATGCAAGTTTCTTTGAAAGACCATAGAATTTGGATCTCCAAGTATATTTTTGAATGTGGGATATTGAACCACTGTGCACAGCAAAGGCAGAAAACTTAAACAAAAATTTTAAATAATTAAAAAGAAATCAGAACTCCATCCTGTCTGTACAACTTAATGTGAGACATTATGCAGCTTACTAAAGGAAATAAAATGGTGTAATAAAAAAATACACGGCGAGGAAGGACAAAGGTTCTTATGATACACAGCAGCAGATGGAGACTTCTGTCTAACACAGACCTCTTATTCAAGCCCACTTCTCCATTAATTAAAGCAGTGGGCAAGTGAAAACAAATATGTGTCAGTGTAACTGTCTCTAAATCGGCTTTCAAAGTTTGCCACGGGAGGTCTCACCAAATCTTTAAATGTAAGTGTCTCTATTCAGAAAAATCACTCACAATTCCAGCTTTTTTTTTTTTTTTTCCATTAAAAATCAGAATAAAACCATTATTTGAAACAGAACTGGCTGCCTTTGGATTCTCCCCCTCCCCCATTCCCCCAAGCTTTATGATTTAGTATCTGGCTAAGGAAAACTATATTTAATTAGGCTCATTAACCTTGCAGTGTGAACACGTCTTTTTTTTTTTTTTAAAATAAGTCATCTGCTAGTCATCTGCACAGTCATGTGGCTTCAGGGATAAAAGTAATTAAAGCAGTTACACTATAGCTAATTAGCCAATATTCTGTAATCACTCTTCAAGTTTACTTTTTCCTCTGAAGACATTTGAAAAAATCATATTCAAAATCTTAACAGGAAATTCATCTCCTCTCTTTGAAGAGCATGAATCCAAAAATACCAAGCATTTCCTCAGAAAACAATAAATAAAATCACTTCATTAGTATAATTACATAAATATCTAGGATACCTAACACATTCCTCATAAAACAGACTAAGCTTTTCAGAAGCTTTAAAAAAAAAAAAAAAACCAAACGTGTAGATGGCATCCCTTCAGATGGTGAAACAGAAAGCTCAAGAATGCCTGAGGCTGTAGCTTCACAAGCATTTTAAGACAGCACTGACCCCAAAAGAAGCTGCCCTCCCAACCGGTTATCTCCTCCTCTGTGCCAGAAACAGCATGTGTGCTCCTGCTCTTACCATGAACACATGATAAAATGGGTAAGGGAAGTGATGAAAGCTGTTATTTCTGGAGAAGCGAGTGAAACTGTCCCCTGAACCTTTAGTGGAGAAATGAGGTATTCAGCTGGACACAGGCTGACCCCAACTGGCCATGCATAGCTGAGCACTGAAGAGAGAGAAAAGGCTTCAGGATCAGGTCTTGTTACAGTTACCTTACTGCGTAAGCTGTTTAGAGGTTTGGGGATTATTCTGTTTCTTCAAGACAGAAGCTGTAGTTATTTTTCCATAGTGACTCTTGCTATGGACCTATTCTATTTTCAGATGGGTCCTCCTTATATGAGAGAAGTTCAGTCTCCAAGTCATCAGCATTCAGATACTCATAGAATCATAGAATCATTAAGATT